CAGATGTAGTAAGGGTTGCAAACCGGACGGTACACAACTTGGTTTTGGGAGATATGGCACTAAAAGTTGTAGAGCTGGTCGTCTTTCATATCGAGCCATTGAAGCAGCGCGTCGGGCTACAATCGGACAATTCCATCGTGCTATGAGCCGAAGAAATAGTAAGATATGGGTAAGAGTTCTCGCAGATCTCCCTATTACCGGGAAACCTACAGAAGTAAGAATGGGAAGGGGAAAAGGAAATCCTACGGGTTGGATCGCTCGTGTGTCCACGGGACAAATCCCATTTGAAATGGATGGTGTGAGTTTGTCAAATGCTCGACAAGCCGCTACATTAGCGGCGCATAAACCATGTTCGTCAACCAAGTTTGTTCAGTGGTCGTAACGTAATTGGTTAGCGGGGAAAACCGGGCCGGGATTCAAAAGAATTAGGCGAAGTGTTTGTTCCTGAACGACGGAAGTGGAAAGACACTAAGGGAGAGGGATATATTCCTTGATTTTAGTAATCGCCGAGATTGTACGACGAACCCTTTTGTTCCAGGTGTACGACCCTGATACGTTACGGTTTTGATCCGCCGGCCCGGTTTATAAAGTGATAGTAGTAAGAATAAATAAGAAAGATAAAAGCTCAGATTCAGGAAAGGAGGCTTTATGGGAGAAAGGAAGAAAAGTATGTATGTATCTGGGGGGGTGGGGGTGGAAGGAATTGGCAGAATTCTTTTAGGTCCCAATGAGGGGGGACCGGGTCATGCGACGGATGCAAGCTAGACTTTTAAGTAAAAAATCCAAGATTTCATAGAAGAAGGAAAAATCGACGTGGTGGATGAACAGGAAGCTCCTAAGAACCCCAACGATAAAATGGGAGTTTTTAAGAACCCGCTCCCTAGTCACGCTCTGGTCTCAACATGCTGGGCCGAGGAAGTGTCCGATTTCCAACAGCCCCCTACCATCACTACAATTAAAGCTATTAATACTCTCTGGCTTTGTGAGGAAGATCCCTCCCACTGGATCATCATGACCCCTACGTTCCGGCTTTTCAAAAGGCGATCCGGAAGAAGAATTCAAAAAAGGGATAAGGCTGCAAGAAAGAACCTAGAGAGGAAGTTCCGCCGAAACGAAAGAAGAAGAGGAAATGCCGCTCAAAGGAGAAATGCTGCCGGAAGAAGAGGAAATAAGACTCGAGTCTCTGGAAATGTTTCAAGAGGGAGTTCCATGGGAAGAGGAAAATTCAGAAAAAGAGAAAGAAAAGAAGAAGATTGAATGGATTATCCCGAACCCGCCTCCGCCGCCGTCGCACGAACCATTTATGATGACCGCGTCTGGGTGGATTGTGGTGCTACCATTCCTTTAGGATACCGTTCGGCTTCAGTAAAAATTCTTCCCCTTTAGTTTTTATAGATATTGAGTTTGTACGGTAACTCAACTTTGAGTATGGAATTTACTTTGTTGGTTGAGTGGAGTTACGGTAGTTCAATCTATAAAGGAAGGACTGGAAAGGCAGACTCGATCCTTTCAGTCTCGAGGGATGGCTATTCCTGTTCTGACTGGCCGGGACTCAAACTCAAGGACCTGTTCTAAGGCTGGGAATTGAGCTCTTCAATGGCCTCCCTATGGCTGTTTTGAAGGTTCCTTTCCCCAGACCCCGGGGGGAGGAGCTGTAGAGAAGGCAACCGCCCTCGCCCGAGGGTAAAGAGCATCAATAGTGAGTTCTCTACTATATAAAGAGCTATAAAGAATCTAGAAGGGTCTTTTAAGAAGCCTTAAGGATAAAGAAAAAGAGAAGTAATAGGAGTCTAATAAGGATAGCTACGATAGAAGAGTTCCGACCAGAGATACAGTAACGAAGGAAACAAACTAGCTGTTTTTAAGCGATCTCGATCTCGCTTCCGCTCCGGGCAGTGAAGAGAGAAGACGGAAACGGATTCTCTCTTGCTTTCGTTCCTCTATCCGTGGTAAGAGTGAATCCCTTTCGGTATCCTCACTTGATCTAACCTAAGAACTTGATCAAAATAAGACTTCGGACCGGAATAACTTTACTTTATCATTCCTCCCCCCTGTAATGTAAAGTGTTTTTTCTCCTCGCTTCGTTCCTTTACCTGCTCAACCAAGATTTCTCTTCCTGTAAGAACAGATGCTAGCACTAATAACAGCTAAGTTGTCCAATCTGCTCATTAAGAGAAATGAATGCAAGTAGGTAAACAACAGGGAGTCCCTGACTTCAAGACACATGGTGAAGAGCACCGGTCAAGCTCACACACAAGAGGGAAGGAACGAAAGATTGATTGATCTGCTGCTAGTGCTTGTTGTTAAAGTTAAAGCAGCTTTCTGTTTTCTCTTAATGTTACAAGGTTGATCTAAAAATCGTAAGTATAGTTACGGTTGTTTCCCCTATGAGTTGAGCTAGAAGCAGTTAACAAGATTCTCAAGTTACTGTTTTTAATTCAGGGTAAATGTTCAGTGGCTATCTTCTCGACTGTCTGCTTTACGGAACGAACTCAAGTGTGATTGAAGTAGCGAGGTTCTGAAAGAAAGGGGCTCCTCCCCACAAAAGCTCTACTGAGCTGGGCACAGAAAGACTGTCTGTCTACTCTAAACTTCAAGATCATGAGAGGGAGTTCCGTTCTCATTCATTCGACTAGACTGAGCGAGAGATTGAGTGTGAACAGCTTCCTATCAGACTACTAGTTCAGTCAATAATCCTCGTTACTAGGCTCGGGCCCAGGTTCTCTGAGTAGACGGGTAGGGGCTTGCTCCGCTCCGTAGTCGAACACTTGGTGCGACCGGATGCTAGTGCGCTTATCTCACTCAATCTTTCTGACGTCTGGGTGCGAGAAGCAAAGGTTATGAAATAAAGGCACCGAAGGTGTGCAAGGTAGAAGGAAAGGTAAGACGAGACATCTACCGAACATCACTTCCAAGCTTCACATTGGGGAGATAAAGTGGATTTGTTCAAGCGTACAATGAACATGTGAATGAACATAGAATATTAGCACATGAATTCTAGGTAACCGTCTACTCTTTCTGTCTAGAGGACAGAGCCCCGAGCGCTAACCTAAAGGCCTAAGTGGAGGCATTCCTCTGCTAGTCCTACTCGTGCTTTCGCTTGTCTTTCCGGCCTCACTTGATCGGGCTGTATTTCCTGACCTGACTGACCTCTCGGGTTACCACTGGACTGTGAGGGCTGCTTACAGCTCCAAACCAAAGAGGAATCCTTTGGCCTGCAAGCCGATGCTTTGACTGCATTGACCACTTGGTGGGGCTGCTGCTTACCGAAGCCTCTTTGCTGACTTTTTCAATCTGGTTAAGGTCGACGAAAGCCCTTTCTTGTGTCTGACCTTTCTCCGATATCTGAACCACCTAAGCCAAAGCCATCGTGAGAAACAGTGGTGAAGCTGGGTTCTGAATGAAAACAGAGCGAGCAGGGAAGAAGAAGGAAGGGGAAGGAAGTGACATACTTCATGTACCCGCTGTTGTCTCCATAAGCGCTGGTGCTCTAATACTAATTACTAATAGGCATTCGCGGACTAATCTTGTCCGCCTTTTAGGTTGTTGCGCCTTATCCGCCTCTTTGAGGTAATTACCAGTCTTAGTTATAGCAGTAGGAATGTGATCTTTGCCTTATCCGGATCTATCTACACTGTCTCAGCTCGTGCAAAGCGGTAACTATCTGAAGGAAGGGTACGGAGTTGATCCTCGCACCGAACTCTAAGCGCTAGTTGAACCTTCTTCGGTCTCTTTCAGCGGCGGGGACTCTCTTAAAGATGGTATTCGTTGCGCTTTCCTCTGACAGTTATGCCCCAAATGAGGGGGGGCAACCGCAAGGAGAGGAGGCTGGCGGTCAACCTCTCGGGGGCATGGGGCCGGCATCACCCCTGTGCGGCCCTTGGTTAACTGTCTCGTTTCCTCCCGTCATATTCATTATCGTTCCGTCAAAGATCCCGAAAGCGGCTAGAAAAAAAACCAAAAGGAGCCATCCTTCACGGGCTAAGCCCCTACTCAACAGGACTTTTCTCCCAAGAGAGAACCCCATTTTCGAAAGTAGGGACTGAAAAAAATCCATTGAGCCGAGTTTCAGACAAAGAAGATAGAAAAGACTGGACACTGTTGCTACAAAGAGGAAAGGCATCGCAGCCTTTGGCCCTATCTTAAGAAGCGATCGAAATAACTCTTGCATGTTCACAGCAGTTAAGTAAATCAGCTTCCACCACCACAACCTCAGCGGTCATGATGACAACATCCCCCGCAATTCAACTTGAGGGTTACCGGTCAAGGTATATTAAGGATTGGGCGAATAGTAAAGCTCGAGAATGCCGCTACCACGTTTTTATTTGATAGGGGGGAGTATTGGCAGGGGGTTAAAACCGCCCTGGATGAAGCGACCTCTCAGGGGGAGTATAACCGCCTACTGGATTTCGAAAATAGGGATCTCCGGATTCGGGAGCAGAGGCATTCGTGCTATTGCCTTTTCGAACAGGTGCTTTCTGAGCATCCGTCCTTGGCGGAAAGAGCCCCCTACGATCCTAAAGAAGTCTTTTTTGATTTCGTTTCCGAGGCGCGGAACGGGCTGGACGCCCATCAGGAGTGGAGCCCTCGGGAAAAGGACTTCCGAGAACTATAATTTTTAAGTGGACTTCAAAAAGGCCTCCGAGAAAGGGGCGCCAACTCACTAGTTTTAGCTCGGATTCTGCGGCTATAATAACATCATAGCCGATCCAATTCAATAGCTTAGGTTCGATCCACTAGCAGACAAAGAATTATGTAAGAAAGAGAGGCGTGATGTATCGCGCAGTCTCCCAGCATCAATTGCAAGTGATATGTGTGTGCCCCCCGTTGTTGAAGTCTCTTGCGGGTATTGTTTGATCTCTGGCTGTGACTCCTTCTTTCTCCCACGCTTTCCGTTGGTCAACAACCAACCACAACTCACTATAATTCTTCACTAATCCTACAGGCTTGACGGAGTTAAGCTGTCTGGAGGGAATTTTTTTGTATCAATCTATATCTATATGTTTAGACGAATCCTTTCGTTTGATGAACCCTATCTTCAATCAAGTTCCAGCGACAATATCGCTTTTCTTGAGTCCCTTTTGAATGATTTGACCATAAGCGGAGTACAAGGTGAAGCCTATACGGAGGCTCTGGAGCTAGCGGGGCTGGTCCCCAGCCCACTTGAGCAATTTGCCATTCTCCCATTGATTCCTATGAATATAGGAAACTTGTATTTCTCATTCACAAATCCTTCTTTGTTTATGCTGCTAACTCTCAGTTTGGTCCTACTTCTGGTTCATTTTGTTACTAAAAACGGAGGAGGAAACTCAGTACCAAATGCTTGGCAATCCTCGGTAGAGCTTATTTATGATTTCGTGCTGAACCTGGTAAACGAACAAATGGGTGGTCTTTCCGGAAATGTTAAACAAAAGTTTTTCCCTCGCATCTCGGTCACTTTTACTTTTTTGTTATTTCGTAATCCCCAGGGTATGATACCTTATAGCTTCACAGTTACAAGTCATTTTCTCATTACTTTGGGTCTCTCATTTTCTATTTTTATTGGCATTACTATAGTGGGATTTCAAAGAAATGGGCTTCATTTTTTAAGCATCTCATTACCCGCAGGAGTCCCACTGCCGTTAGCACCCTTTTTAGTACTCCTTGAGCTAATTCCTCATTGTTTTCGCGCATTAAGCTCAGGAATACGTTTATTTGCTAATATGATGGCCGGTCATAGTTCAGTAAAGATTTTAAGTGGGTTCGCTTGGACTATGCTATGTATGAATGATCTTTTATTTTTTATAGGAGATCCTGGTCCTTTATTTATAGTTCTTGCATTAACCGGTCCGGAATTAGGTGTAGCTATATCACAAGCTCATGTTTCTACGATCTCAATCTGTATTTACTTGAATGATGCTACAAATCTCCATCAAAGCGGTTATTTATTTATAATTGAACAAAAGCGAGGTTCTGAAAGAAAGAAGGTCCATTTTTCCACGTAGTTCGTCGGTCAAACCAACGATTCTCTTCTCAAAGTAATAGAGAGATCTTTTTCTAGTTAGACTTCTATCAATGCAATGAAAGAACCATCCCTTCCTATTTGTTTGTCCTGTCAGATAGAAAAAAATAAATTTTTAGCCCTTCTTTACCACTTTAGGGGGTGGGGGTGAAGGGGGGGTTTACATACAACCGAGGCAAAGTGGTTTATGAATGAAGGGATCGAAGAGATTATGGCGGATCTTCCAAATGGGTCTCTTCTTTTTTTTATCATTCCCTTCGCTATAATTTTTTCTTTAATTAGAGTGGGGCGTATACCTCAATTAAATCTTGAGACGACTCCCACTCTAGTTTTGGATACACTAAGGGATCACATCAGTTTTCAGCTAGAAACTTTATTACAGCTGTTTTATGGCGAAGAGTTTCGATTGCCCGAGGAATTAGGCATCGAAACCATTGGGGAGCATATCTACGGAGGTATTAACGACTTAACAACCTTACAAGAAATCCTCCTGGATCTATTAAATCAGGGGATACAAAGCCCCCATTTTCACCAAGCCATCCATTTGGTTATTCAGCATGGGGTGTAATCCCTATGTTCATTATTATATCCGTAAGCAACTTAGTGCAACATGGCAAATTTCATCGAAAGGAATCAGCAAAGAAAAGAAAAAGTCGATACAGGTCATTTGAAAAGCAAGAAAGTAGCACACTAGTAAAGGCACTCGATTAGCCGGCAAAAGCCCTCTCCTTAATGATGTTCTTAGCTTTTTAAAAAGGAATTTTTAGAGGTTGGATCAATAGCAATAGTAGACACGCCCAGATCCTTTGCGCTTGAACGTGGTGAGGAAGGAAGATGCCCACTCCTGTTTTTGCGGCGTAACGACTGGTGCGAGTCACACATACTACCTACGAGTCTCATTCTCTCGCATTCGTCCTTACCTGTGTTCTATTCTATTGATCCAGTTTAGGCAGCTTTCAGTCTCTATAAACAAAATGGAATATCTTTTCCACAAGGTTTAGAATCCTAAATGCCATCTTTGGCTGTTCTGGCTGTGAACGAATTCCCTATTTCGTAATAGAAAGGGACTTATTCAACATATGGCTATGAATCAATACCCGGATAAGCCCTTACAAGCTGTTAGGTATTAAGGGCAATGCTAGTATGGGACTTCTTATCCCTATTGGAGAGAAAAGAATAGGCAAGCTGCTTGGGGCTCCCTGGGTTTGCTAGATTGGACACAGATATTATACCGTGGGGCACGAAATCCTTATTCCTTATCATTAATAGCCTAAAATGTTATTAGCTTATTCAATTCCCTAGGAATTAGTCATAGCGGGCATATCTCCATCTCCTAGTTATAGTTCGAGGAGAAAGGAAGAAGGAGCAGCTATTGAAAAAAGGAAAATATCATCCCAAGAGTGCGAAAGACGGCTATTCCTCAGGCAAGGAGCGCTTCCTCTAGAGAATCTGGAATATGTCCGAACGGATTTCCCCGATACCGGAGCAGCTAAAGGAAGTGAAACTCTCCGAGGAGGTTTAATCAATAGGAATAGGCAGATAATGCCCAATAGGGTCTTTGGCCGTTTTATCATCTATAGAATAAGCTGTTTTCGAATAAGCTGGAATCGGTTGTTCAAAAAGGGATTGCACTCAGGCTGGATCACTGACTGGATGTCCGAGGGTAAGGTAAGCGTGTGGAATAAAGATAAAAGGCTTTTCGCTTAATGTTATTTGCTGCTGCCGCATAAGATGAATGGGAAGCTAATTAAGCTATTATTCTTTCCTTTCCGCGACATGAAAGCTAAGATGTGAGTCTTGCAGCTATTATCTTTTTTAGTGCAAGTTCCGCTTAAGAATCTTATTGACAAGTCTTCTTCCAGCGGATGAAGTCAGGATAACAGCTATTTGACATGAAGTACAGCATTGCGATAAAGTCTATATAGAATAGAAAGAAAACCTTTGGGGCGAAGAAAGAATGAAGCGACTGAGTCTGCTCCTGATTCTAGCGAAAGTTCCTCGAGGATAGGAAAACTTCCCCGAAGGCAAGGCGGGAAGGTGAGCCTACTAAAGGGAAAGGAGGCGCTGAGGCGACAACCCCATAAAGGAAGGGCACCGCTCAAACTGTCTAAGGCTTAGCGATTAGAGAAGCGAAGCAGGCTTACTGAGAGAAAGATATAAATAGAAAGGCAAAGAGATAGGCAAGCGATAAAGCGCATAGCAGCACATAAAAACAAAGACCTTCACGCGACGACCACGCCCGACGGGAGATGGGTGTGTGTTTGCAAGGTAACAGGCTATGACACCGATCAAGCTTAAGAATTTGTGCTGGAGGGCGGAGGCTGTAGTTCCAACTCCAACGTCTGAAGAAAGATTCGAAGATACAGACGCAGACGCCTAACCAAGAGATTCTGTTTCCCCCGAACTAACGGATTCAATTTATCTAGAATATTAAGCGACGAGGCCAGAGGATTCCGCATCTAAAGACAAAGACACAGAATATGACGGTGGGTTACGGTCAATAGTTTTTAAAAATCTTAAGACTTAATATTAGTAGAAAGAATAAAGCCCCGTGCTTTGTCACAGGGCCGAGAAGGAAGAACAATACGACAGAACAATCCCCTTACCAAAGAAGCGCTAGCGTATAGCGCGCTGCGAGGATTGCGCTTGCTGCAAAGGAAAGGTAACCTATCGTCTCATACTAAGACCTAGCCTAGCCACCGCCTTCTCTTATCTTCCCTTTCGACGTAGCTTTCGAAGCAGGACGAGAAGGGGTAAAAATCGGGAAAAAAACACATAGGATGCTTGAATGCTTTTGTTGAGCCGAATGTGGGATTGATCCATTCTATTCGCTAATTCGGCCATTTAACAAAGAAAGACGGACTATCCTGCTTTCACTGATAGCTATTGCGAATCAAAAGAGAGGAAACCCTTGTTCACTCAGAGTTCTTTCTGAAACAGAATCGAATTACCCTACTCACCTAACCCACCAAGACCGGATAAGCAGCTAACAAGAGGCTAGCAGCCCTTATCAATAGCAGCGGAGTCACGAAAATACCCCTTTTAAAGCGCCGATTCACTAGCAGTCTTCCAATTCGACTGAATAAGTCTTTTTGTGGTTAAGCTGGGGCCAGGGTCAAAAGTTTTTCCATCTCCGGGGATCAGATCAGGCAGAGCCTCTACGCTTTCTTCCTTTGCTAAAGCTACCGGGTCTTCATTTTTTAAAAATGCATTTACCTTTCTCCCCTGGGAGGAGAACCTGAATCTAGCGAGGGTGTCCTCGTAAAGTAATGAAGTTCAGTATCCATATTATAATACCGAGTGCCAGAAGGCAGATGAGCTAATCGTAGCCCTCGTCTCGTAAGGCCAAGAGTTCTGCCATTCCTCTCTGTCAACTCGAAGTCTAAGGCAAGGAACTTTCTATATTAAAGAGGGTATTCCAGGCCAGGCACCTTTCCTCATTTAAAAGCGCAATCACAACTGTCGAAGCGAGTGCTCTACTATCTCCGCTCCGATAAGATGGATGGGCTTCATCCAATAGCAAAAATAGTAAAATAAGATGACATAGAAGGAAAGCTGGAGGGGAGATTCATTTAATCAGTAGTTAAGATAGCCACACCCACGGACATCAGGAAGTTAATCAGTAGCTTTGAGACTGGAGCTAGTGGCATAGATTTACTTTTCATCTTTCGAGCCCAAGCCCCTTCATTCTAATAATAATGAAGCCGGTAGGCCCAATCCGCTTATCATTTCTCAGAACAGCGGCCTACCGCTGACTTACTTTATTTCCATAGGAGATCCGGTTGCTTTCCAATACGAGTGGCAAATGCGTGCACCTCTTTCAGAGCCTCTTTGAAAGCCTTGCTTGGGCCTTCCCTGATGCCCAGAGTCTTATCTCTGATGGTCTCATTGAGGATGTCATTCTCTTGTAGAGTAACAACACCTCTTCTCGCTGCAGGTTGGTCAATACCTGCAGCGAACACAAGGAACTGTTGTCCAGAGATCCCGCCCAAAAGAGTTATGGGTTTACCAAACTCTGTTTGGGTACCAAGTATTGGGACCTGGTAATCTAGACCCTTCTCTGCGACTAGATCATATAATCTCCATAGCTGTCCAAAACGGACTACTACTGGATCCTCTCGAGTTGCTTTCCAGCGACTAGAGACGATAGGCGCATTGAAGAATTCTTCGATCGAGACTGCCGGATCAATAGCCGTCGTCAAGTACCACTTGACGTACTTAAGCCATAGATTAATCTACCCACGCATCACAGTAATCTCAGACAGTACCTGCTGACACTCATCTTCATAGAGGTCAGTAGGCACTGTCTTAAGATCTGTAGGCTTATAAGCCTTCCGCAGGCGATCTATAAGAAAGCCTCGGAGATACGGATTAAGTGGACGACCGCGGCCAAGACGACAAATATCCTAATGGCTGACCTACAGCGAAATTCACTACAGGTCGGCCCTTGGCAAAAGGATATTATACAGGAACACCAGTATTCGGAGGACGCTCAATCTGGTTTGTAACCACATGAGGGTCCGATGGATGAACAGGTGACCTGCAGAACGGTACCTTAAATAACGATAAGGAGAGGATAGAGGTAACAAAACCTTCAACCTCCCTACCGAAAAGGACCGCTAAGACGTCTCCTTGTAGATATAAGGGCCACCTATCGTGGCAGATTTAAAATCATAAGATGAGACATGTTCCGCTCCAACCAAACGGTCCAAGGGTGAGACTTTATTATAAGTCCCATCCATGGGCAAAGTTGATAAAGCTTTCATTAACCAATCATGAAGAGGCTTTAGCAACCGTTGGTTGACGTAGTTGCCAATGGCAAATATCCGACGTTTACCAGCACCTGAATCGGTGGACTGGGCTAGTCTCCCGGGAGAGCCAAAGCTAGGGATTCCTTATGCCCTATTTTCTTCGACCTGGGATTGGAAAAGAGGGTAAGAATCCCTCATTGACCAAAGAGATATATCTCTATTTCCTGGGTCT